TCAAGTCCTCAGCAACCAGCACAGCCGAAAGGGAAGGGACCTGCACATGGAGCTGCACAACGCCTACATCCCGAGGAAGGGCAATTAGTTAGTTATAAGGAGTTAGAGAAAGGAATTTGTGAAAATAAGGATTTTTGGAACCCTGTGTGTAGGGAGAATGGTGTGTTGTTAATTCAGGTGTATGTGCTCAGCTATGTGTCACATGGGGGTTATCCACATTTATTTTGTATATCCATTTGTAAACCGAGGCCCTTTGTAGTGACCTAAGAGGAGTGGAATAGAGTAATGACCTTAAGTCCCAGGCTGTAGAGGGAGAAGGAACCTTCCCCCCTCCCCTTTTGTCTGCATCAATCCTGTGGTGGACAACCCCCACACAAGTACAACCCCCCCTTCCCTGTTCTAAGAAGTGTGAGGAAATCTGGTACAATATTTGTTAAATAAAATCCTTTTTGAAAAATTGTACCCAAGGTGTATTTCTTGTCCCATGTAGTTAGAACTTGTGACTATTACTATATAGACCCCTGCACTTCCACTATTTATAAGAAAGTAAGAGCGGGTGTTGTTGGCGATACTTTAGGGTACGGCTTTCAATCTCGTACCTTACACGGGTCTGGTTCTCACTGCCTCCCTCTCCCAAGTGACTGATAGGGGCTTGCACATGTCCCTGCCTGCCTGGTTCCAATAATGTCCCCTCCCTATACATGTCATACACATTTCCCAATACTTCATTTATATGTCTTATAATGTTCCAGGCTGTTTTTCTACATTTAACACTGTTGTTTCTCTATATTTTCTTGCATTGAATCTGCTTTTTCTTAACCCTTTTATCCCTTTTGTTTACATTGATTTTTTTAGGAGATTACATTTTCCTGTTGAGATGATGTTCTGTGCATTTGAAAGGGGTCAGAGTTCCAGACTGTTTTTCAACATTTAACACTGCTATTTCTCCCTACACAAGGGACTCTCTCTTACTCTAGACTGGGTAAACCAAGTCACCAGCAAGCAACAAAACTCGCAGGACTCCGGGTCGAAGGTGTCACCGACCCAACAGGCAACATTACGGAGACAAAAACAATGAGAGTCACCCCGAGACAAAGGGACAGAGCAACCCTCGAACTCGCACAAAGCGAGGAGACTCAGGGGTCACATCCATTGGTCCCATACGCCCCCTTAGGGGATTCCCAGGATCCTGAGACAGAACTCACTCTCAGGGAAGCCCAGGCAGGGCACTGCTAACCGGTGTCCAAAACTACCAAACGACTCACTAAGAGCTGAACCCCCGGGACGTGTACACTCATGGGGACCTAACAGGGGTATCACCAAAGAGAATTAGTACCCAGGAACTGTACTCAGGGGGCAACCAAGGCAGGGCCCCCCCCCCCACCAGGCAGGAAAACAAAAAGAAAAAGAAAACCCCGCAAGAGGACAGCGTACCCAGGCGGAACAGAGCCGACCGCTTTGAATAGTGAAAACAAGCTACGCAGTACCCTGCACCCCGTACCAGTGCAAACTGCCCCTTACCCTAAAGTAAACAAGGGAGACAAAACACCCCTGCACACAATGGGGGCTGAAAACCGAACAGTAACCGGCCTAGCAGAGGCAGAACCCAAGGAGCTTGTGGAAGGTGGCCCCAAGGGCAGTACTAACAGGGCTAAGGGTGATTTATCACCCTAAGGATTTAGGGTGATAGTTAAGGGAGCCCTAGGCGCATGCAGCTCAAGTGCTGAAGGATCACTCCTAGGTCGCGCACCTCCTAGAAGACAGACACCACACACAAGGCACAGTGCTGAAACAATAACTGGAGCCAGAGCATACGACCGCAGACCGAGTTCTGAGGCATTAGCCTCAGAACTGAGAGGTGGATAGCTGGTGTGGGGGTATGGGGCCCTTCTTTCCCCCTCCTGGGGAGGGGGGGGAGGGGGGAAAGCGGCGCAGACAGCGGCGCAGCGACGTGTGACATCATACTCGTTTGCTCGTTTCTGTTTGGGGGTATTCTATCCACTTGTTCGGCTTTTTGTAGCAATTTTCACCAGAATCAGGGTTTGTTTTGGGACGCTTACCTTTCTGGGTGCCTAACCCGGTCAATGGCAGATATAGAATGCTTCCAACCACACGGGGATTTTTCTATAGGCCACTGCTCCTCATGCCTCTGTGAGGGGGGCCAGGTTCTGGCTCATGGTCCCCGGTAGGCCCACAGAACTCCATACACATGACTGATGCCAAAGTCTGACATTAGCATATCAGCCTGGATAGCTCCGGGGAGCCGACGGGACTCCTCCCAGAAATAAAGAAAAAAAAAAAAGATAAGCCGCCGACCGGTGGGCAGAGAGCACTGCACCGGCCAGACTAAGAAGGCACCAAGAGAGCACAAAAAGACGCACCAAAAGGCCTATCTCGACAACAAAAACCAAGGCCCCGGCACGACCACAACACTTGCCAAGACCCAAAAAGATCAGCAACTGGGGGTCTTCCTGCAAGCCAGGAAGATCCCGGAACCCCATAAGGCAGAACCGGATCACATACGAGGTAACTAAAAACCTCCCGAACCCCCAAAGGGGGCCCAAGAGGAAGAAACCTCCGGAACGAAACCAAAGAACCGAAAGGAACCTGGAATCGAACCAGGGGGAGACCAAACCACCACATTTGTCGGCAGAAATACACCACAGACAGGGCAAAGCACAGCACCCCAGACAGAACCCCGAGTGAAACGACCAAAACGGACCGAAAACCGAGGGACACAAGGTGTGGGAGCAAGCATAAACAGACAGGGACACTGAGCTCAAACCAGAGGGACCAGACCCAAACAGTCAGAAAACACAAAAACCGGTGTAAAAACCAACACCCAAGCGTTCCCAGAAAAACGGAAGGACAGAACACCCCAGAAATGGCAAAGAAATGGCAACAGGAGGATAAAACCCCCTGAAGGAGGTGAAAAACTCCCCCAAAAAACACAAGCTCGCACACCCAAGCAGAGGTAAATAAACCGCAACGCTGCCCCGGTGGCCAGGCAGGGAAGCAACCCGCAGAAAGAAAATGGCCATCAGAACAAGGAGCCACGACCGACGCAAGAGAGCCGAAAACACACAGTCCCCGAGGCGAAGCTGTCCTCCACACTCTCCGCCCTTAAAGAAAAGGAAGAGTCCAGGGGAAAGGCAGCAAAGAAAGGGCCGCTGGTAAGACCCAGAAGCCTCAGCAGGAGGAACAAGCTCGAAAACCTCCGTCTTCAACCCGAACGGGGCAGTCCCCAAAGCCGCCCGAGTCTCGGCACTAACTAAACCCCGCCCTGACCCCGAAACCCGCAGTCAGGAGCCGGGAACAGGGAGGGGAAAGGGGCGAACAACACCTAACCAAAATGGGGAGGCCTAGGGGCATCCGGGTGGAAAACCAACATAGCGCATTGCAGCAACCTAACTGAGCATGCTACACGGATGCCGCCTGAACTCTTAACAGTAAGGTCATCAGGAGAGTACTGGAGAACAAGTAGAAAACACAACTCGCAAGCCTCCGGGTCAAGGTGTCAGTGACCCAACAGGCAGCATGACGGAGGTAAAAAGAGGCGACTGTCACCCCGAGACAAGTGCACAGCAACCAACGATCCCGAACAAGACGGGTTGGAGCCCAGAAGACACATCCAGTGGTCCACCGAGCCCTGACAGGGTTTTTCAGGGCCCGTAATGTAACAACTACGGGAAGCCCAGGCAAGGTGTCGCTAACTGGTTAACACCCAAATCTAACAAGGGGAGATGCCAACACTGAAAATCCCTGCGATGTGCACAATCATGGGGGGCCTAGCAGAAGGCCACCAAACAATACCAGTGGAACTATAGCCACACTTGGCAAACCCCCACCAGGAAAATGAAAAAAGAAAAGAAACCCCACAAAAGTACACCGGCCCCAGAGGCAACAGAAACCGGTCGCTGCGTAGGTAGCAGGTCGCACAACACCTTGATGCCCTAACCAGCACAATATCAATCCCTACCAAAGGCCAAACAAGGGCCCCAAGCCCCAGCTGGCCCCAAGGGCAACGAGGGCTTGAACCCCTACGAGCACCAGAACCCCTACAAGAATGGGTCCCAAACGCCCCAGGGAAGAAAACCCTGACACGCAGGGGCAGTACTCACAGGGCGCTTAGGAAAGGAAGCCCCTAAGCGCATGCAGCCCAGGCGGCACTGATGAAGAACACCTGGCCACCACACAACACAAAAACACGGCAGTGAGCGCCACGGAGGCAAACACCGCCTAGGAAACCGAGGCCAGAGAATCGTCTGTCCCGGTCGACATTAGCTTACGAACTGGAGTGCTATGCAGTCGACGCAGTGAGGTCCGGGGCCCCCCCCTTCCCCTCTCTGGGAGGGGAAGGCTGTGCGGATGAGCAGCGCAGCAGTAATGTGTTACCTTTGTTTGTTTCCTTGGGATTGAAGGGAGTTCTACCTCTCTGTTCGGTTTTGGTTGTTAGTTTCTTGCCATTTGAGGTTTGGTTTGTTATGCCTAACTTTATGGGTGCCTAACCCTGGTCGATGGCAGATAAGGAAAACCCCCAACCAGAGGGAGGTTTTCCAGGGCCATTGCTCCCAGAAACCTCTCTGAAGGGGCCAGGTTCTGGCTCATGGTCCCTGGTAGGTCTGAACTCCATAGCTAATGTCTCGATCTAATATAAAATACATTAGCTAGATAAGCTCAACTACTCGGCTCATTTATGTCATTGGTAAGTACAATTAATTTTATTTTTTTATTTTTCCCGTACTCCGGGAACACAAATAAATCTAACATCTGATTTAAGCAAGGCTTTTTTTTGTCCTTCCCGTCTGCTTACTTCCTGCATTTGTTGACGTTGCTTTATCTTTGACAAATAAAGATTAAGAAAAAAATTTGGAATTGGTATTTTTTGTTGCACCTGTGGGTGTTAAAGGCAAAATGGCCCTTAGCAGCCTAAGGTTTAAACTAGATTTATTAATCAAAACTGAACAATAATGAGCTTGTTTTAAATCAACACAACTTACCTTTGCCAAAACATAGGGAAAATCTCTTCGTGAGGTTTTTATACACGGATCCTTTTTGGCAGCTAAAAAGTGCAATTGTTCACAAGATATGCCTGCATGAACCTGCCCCTTTATAATGGCTATTGTGGCAGGCACAGCTCCCTAAAGAATGAAAATTATATGGCACTTTAGTACATTTCTATTACTGGATTAAATATTGTGTATTCCAATAAAATTTTAATTTCAAACAGTTTATATATATACATACAGTATACAGTACATTAATTACACCAAAGTAAATTGATAACTTCGTGTAACCTCTTTTCTGATAATATCTTCAACTTTAATGGCAGTTTCCAAATTCTGAGGATATGGCATTCCATGAGTGATAATTGTAGACTCTAAGGCAACAACTGGTTGATGCGACAACAGTGCTTCTTTCACTTCTTGGCCGACAGCAATGCTACACGACTGATGACGATTGCTACCAATACAAGCACAAACATTAGATTTTGAATCAAAATGAATAAAGAACACATGCAAATATAACAACTATAAGGAACAGTTATTAAATTTTTCTTAGGCTTATTCTAAACTTAACTCTCTAGGAAAAGCAAGTCATGGCAAAAAATCTAATTTCATCGTCTGATCATAGGAAGGTCAACACAGTTCTGGTATATTATATTACTGTATATGGTTCAGAATTCCAAGAGATGTGTTCTATGAAAGCTAAAATAACTTTTAGAGTAAAGGGAAAATATGTTGTACAATACTTAATTAAATATGTAACTCTCCCATTCATGCATGCATATATGTATACAAATAAGTAATTACAATGAGGTAATCATACAAATACAAGAACACACTTTATGAAATGCCAATAAAGGAGGACACTTCCCAAGTGCTATACAATGACAACACAGAAAACGAATCCTTAGTAGACAATGGAAAGCAAAGGTGTGGTGCAACCCCCAAAACCCTCAAGCCCATACAACCACACAGGACACCAGCAAGAAGACAGCTTTAAGAGTGAAACCTTCCAGAGATCATGCATGCAATATTTCCTTGGCTGATTGAACTTAACTATGCTGAGGAGCAACCGAGACAGCTGTACTCAAGTACAGGGAACCATGGTACAGGATTCCCAGAACAGAGCATCTGAGGCTGAAAACACAAGACGATTGGACACATCAACACAAGGACTTATGCAGTTTCCTCTGTTCCTATGTTTACATGAATAACAAATCCTTCCTCATGAACATGATAAAATTCTATGACAGATCAGACAGCATTAATAACCATACCTTGTGGTTACCCTGCAGTGATTTTGAGGACCAATGTCCCTGCAGCCCAGTTTCTGATCAGACCTCTGGTTGGTGCTCTGGTCAACCAGATGGTTAGATATGGCTGCTCACAGCCTGACATGAATCACAGTCTGGTTTATCACGTATTCTTTTGAGGTGTTTATCAAGTTCTCTTTTCAACTCCGAGAGAGGTCGGGCAATTATATCCCTTATCTGCAGTGGGAACGTATTGAACAGTCTATGGCCTGTGTTGTTGATAGAGTTCTCTCAGCACACCTATTGCACCTTTGACTTTCAATGGGACTATTTTGCACATCCTGCCAGCCTCCTGGTCTCATGTGATGTTATTTCCATGTGCAGATCTGGAATCAGTCCCTCTTATCTTTTCCAAATGTAAATTATTACGTATCTCTCCCGCCCGTGCTCCAGAGAATACAAATTTATAAATTTTAATCAGTCCCAATAATTTATGTTTTATCGAGTGGATTTTAGCAGCAGACGATCTTTGCACTCCCTCCAGGCCAGCAATTTCTCTGGCTTAGAATGGGGCTGTTATTGTGTAACAATATCCCACTTTGGAGAGCACTGGTGTCTTTAAAAGTATCACTGATATGGTATCCCTTGTTTGAAAGGTTCTTGTTATCCAATCTGTCATTTTTCTTGCAGCACTACCAGAAACTTTATTGTGTTCTTTAAAAGATAAGGTCTTCTGAAACGATTACGCCAAAATCTATTACATTGCTTTTTCGTTCTAAAATGTGATTTGACTGCATTTTATATGTGGCAATTCTTTTTATATTTCAGTTTTCCATAGTACAGGAGCTGGAGCTTATCTTCATTAAACATCATATTATTTTCTGTGGCCATTGTAAGACCTGATTAACATCAGATTAGAGGTTTGTAAGGCTAGTCAGACTGCAAATTTTTGTAGTGCCTCATGGACTTTGACAACACTCTACAGACAACTAGTCCACAAGCTGTACTTAAGGAATAAAAACAAAATCACAGTCATGAAGTGCCCTCATAGTGATGAAGTGGCCACTGGGGTTCAACAGGGGACTGGAAATATCCCATTCCTGATGATTTTATAAATAACCTTTCAGAGGTAATGGACATTTCAATCATTTATGTTTATAGATAATGGGTATAAATGAGAATAAGTAATATAGTAGATGACTGCAAGCTAAATGAAGACCTAGATGTCAAATGAAATGTCAAAGATATGACCAAATTGGTCCTAGAACTTGGAGGCATAAGCTACATGGACAGACTAAAGGAAATGAACCTCACATCACAAGAAGAGAGAACAGGGAAAGCCTTCATCACAAGCAACAAAATAACAAGGAAAATCAAGGTAGATGAGAACATACTATTTTATAATGGAAGGATAAAAACAATGGGCTGTAGGTGGAAAGTAAGTAAGTGCCAAAACAAACGATCAAGAATATTAATCAAATTATTTATTACTACTGTAGTGCAGAATGGAATGAACTATAAAGTGAAGTGGCAGAGGCAGAGTCTATAAACAGATTCAAGAGTAGATATAATACAGCACAAAGTATTCAGAAATACATAATTGATTAATACCCAATTGACTGATGGTTGAAAGGTAGGACCCAGGATTTGAGTTTTTTTAAAAAGTATAACTAATGAGTGGAGAAGAGTACAAGCTCAATCTGAGCATGAGGATATACAAAGGCACTTCGAGCCTCAAGGTAGTGAAAATGTAGAGTGTACCAGGAACACAAGTACAGTAATAAGAGGTTAAAGCCATCCATAACAAAGCTACACTACAATGTACAGTACAGTATTATGCAGTACTGTAATCAATTAATCATGAAACTAACTTTAACCACTGATCTTAACTTGCATAAAACATGAAATTTTCAAAGAAATAAGATAACCTGATTTTGATGTACATTTTTGTTTTAAAGTAAATGTTTAAATTTCCAACCCCAAAAATTATTACAACAAAGCAGAGCCCCAAATCATTCTACATTCCTCTCCATACCATTACTATCTAATCATACTTCTTACCTTCGAAACAGAGTAGACGTACAGCCCGTTGCTAAAATCCCCCTAGACACACAATTTAGTTGTCGCAGCATATTTCCTGATTAAGCTAAAAAAAATTTATCTGAAAAAAAATTTGAGAAATCAATAAATACCAATTTGAGTAATATATGCACAGTTCCTTTGTCATCACATGCTGATCATCTCAATGTATTCGTTCACCTTTCACCTCTCAACAAAAACCCTTGTGTACAGTACAGTACTTCTTTTACATTGCTTAATCTGTCAAAAGACACACTGACAAATTTACCCACTGGAACCATTGGTGTTGCGAATGATAAGCAAATTATGGCCTTGATGGGTGCCATTAGAAGTCACACAAGCTTCCTGTATCCGACAGATATATACTGTACCCATATCCAATATGCATCAGGATTTGTTTTCCTGTAGTGTCAACAAACAGGTGCAGCTACCAAGCCCAAACTCCTGTTCTAATGACTAGATGTCTGAACAAACTATTCAGGATGTTGAAAAAAATTTGGCAACACTCGCATATTGCAGTAAATTAGTTTTTAGTGCAGCATCCCTTCTCGTTAATTGCAGAGAAAGGGATGACAATGTAGTAATAATAAAATAAGGCTTTCAGGAATTTAAAAGTACAACTACAGATGCAACAAAAATGTTAATTATGATAATAGTCCATTGCATGAGGATTCCATTTAGTGCTGGTCTCTAAATGCATGATAGAACTGACAAGTTAGTCAAAAAAATACATCTTCACAGTAGTAATTTACTAAAGCCTTGGATTTCACAGAACCAGCTTGAGAACAATAATACACCAAGAACTCCAACACAATGTTGTAGATATGAGAAAGTGAAATTTACACTAATATGTATGAGAAGAAACATATATCTGGATCATTCCATTAAATCTGCAGACTCCTACAAGTTACCACTCCTTGACTAGACTCGGTCATATCTCTAGGAGTTTGCATCGCTTGTCAATGTAGTCCTAGTCAAATGCAAATTGTCAGCAAAACTACAGGTATTAGATCTTTTTGTAATAATTTTGTTTCTGATGCTGGTACAAATGATAGCTAGCATTACCATTAACTATCTACAATAAAGAAATTATTTCAACGATACCGTAAAAATACTGACAAAATTTGTACGATATTAATCTAGACCACTTCTTTCAAACGTCCAATGTAGCACACTGAACGGGCAACAACTACAAGCTCAACAAGCCGCAATGTAAATAAATAAATAAATAAATAAATAAATAAATAAATAAATAAATATTTATTCAGGTAAGGTACATACATACAAGAGATTTTACAAAAATTTATAGGATTTATAGAGCTAGTACATACAATGCCTAAAGCCACTATTACGCAAAGTGTTTCGAGCAGGAAAAACATTAAAGACTAAAACTTAATACTAATTGAGTTTAAAAGTATAAAATGTGTTGAGAACAAATAAAAATAAAAAAGGGGGGATCATGGCTGAAAAAGCAGCACAAATACAATTAGGTCGAAAAACAGCGTTGTTTAAAAAAACAGACATGGGTTGACAATATAGGGGTAAGGTAGGTTACAGGGAATTTATTAGGTAGTGCTTCGTTTTTATCTTAAACTGGTTGAGAGAGGTACAGTCTTTAACATGATTGGGAAGGTCATTCCACATTCTGGGTCCCTTGATTTGTAGAGCATTTCTAGTCGTAAATGTCGTAAATTATAAGACAGTTTAAAATTCAGCTGGATAAAATTATCGGGATAACGGTGTCTCTGACAAACCACCGGCTTCCTGTCCCCATCGAGGTTACTAGAGATAGTATCCCTCAAGAAAACCCAGGAATCAGCGTGACTACCTGGAGAGCGGAGCAAGAGACGCACGTGGACCGGCCGTCAGCTGACACATGTAAACAAGTCAAATTAGACACTAACATGAAACCTCACTGCTCTTGTTTAATGTAAATATGCATGCATTTATTTGAAAATTATTTCTATGTACTAATTAATGTTGTTGATTTACACGGATGGTTATTATTGCTTTGTAAATGTGAAGGTAAAAACTATGTAAGTTTCACCACACATGGCATCTGTGCATAGCTGACAGCACAGCCTCCCTTGCACCAAGTGTCTACAAATCTAAGCCTTCTGCTTAACGGAAGCCATGCACAGATAAAACAAAAATATTATTGAAGGTTTCTGATTCTATTTCATTTATATTCCATCTCATTTTGGGTTTCCAAATGCAAAACTGTGTATAACTGTTACCACTATATCGGGGCTAGTTTATTGTACTCACCTTGTTGTGCTTGCGGGGGTTGAGCTTTGGCTCTTTGGTACTTTTGGTATTCTTTGGTACTTTGGTATTGTGTACACCATACCCATCCAGTGAACAGAATACTACTAATAATAATAATAATAATAATAATAATAATAATAATAATAATAATAATAATAATAATAATAATAATTGCAACTTTTATTTTAAAAAATGTACAGAAAGATACAGTAGTTGAAAAGTTGCTGCATATTTAATATATACAGTCACTATAGAACGCAAAGTGTTTAATTATTGGCACTATTGACACAATTATTGACACCACATACTCATCCTTTGAGCGGGAATATATAGCGCCCATCATCCTTCTCTTCCTATGAACAGCAGTTTATTCACTTTATTGTGCACCACTGTACTCAAATGCATTAAGGGGACATATCTGTGAATATTGAAAGTTGTTCAATGTCAACCAAACTTTTTTGACTAGTTGTATATGAAAAGGGCTGCAATTGCTCTAAGTTTCAATATCACAGCCTAAATAGAAAGGGAGATTTTCTCAATAAATTTTACATATTTTCAATAATTTACTACAACCACAAGTTTCAAATGAAATCATTTCTATAACACTCTTCTGTTACATTAGCATGTAATAAAGGATTTGTATTACTAGATTTTCCAAAATATGTTTAGTTTGACTAATACAAATAGTCAAAGTTCCCCCCCCCCAAAAAAAAAAAAAAAAAATATGCAAATATATCATGTTTATTACTATTTATAAAATCAATAAATGAACTTAGGAAAACTTTATATATAAAGTGTAAGTTTCATGTAAATTGAATAAAAAATGAAACAGTAGTAGTTACGTTTATGTTACTTGAAAGAAAGTAATGAAGAAAAGAAGTCCAAGGTGCTGCCATCTGTGGCTGAGGTTAACATCAACCAATTTCCTCCAAATTGGCAACCTTACAGCAAGGATTACGTGTAGTCAGGTGTATAAGTTTCATGCAAATCACACGATAAACAAATGAGAAAAAAATCTATTTTTTGTAACTCCCTTTTTTTATAATTTTTTTATTATGTTATTGTGATAGCAGAGAGTCATAGACACGATTTCAGTCGACACTTGTATTTGATGTTAATTTTTTAACATTTTGGAAAATTGTTGGCACATAATTAAACATTTTTTTCTCCATTCCTATTTACGCTACGATGCTGAGACTTGGATCAGTTGAAGCCAATTTCATATACAACTAGTCAAAAAAAGCTTGATTGAAATTAAACCAGTTTCCATTTATTGCATATTTGGCCCCTTAACTTATACTCCCTTAACTTTGGCTTTTCAACACCATACTCATCCATCTAGCAGTAGTATACAGTATACACCATACTCCTCCGGCCTGCAGTAGTATACTGTACACCATACTCCTTCGGCCTGCAGTAGTATACTGTACACCATACTCCTTCGGCCAGCAGTAGTATACTGTACACCATACTCCTCCGGCCTGCAGTAGTATACTGTACACTATACTCCTTCGGCCAGCAGTAGTATACTGTACACCATACTCCTCCGGCCTGCAGTAGTATACTGTACACCATACTCCTTCGGCCAGCAGTAGTATACTGTACACCATACACCTCCAGCCAGCAGTAGTATACTGTACACCATACACCTCCAGCCAGCAGTAGTATACTGTACACCATACTCCTTCGGCCAGCAGTAGTATACTGTACACCATACTCCTCCGGCCTGCAGTAGTATACTGTACACTATACTTCTTCGGCCAGCAGTAGTATACTGTACACCATACTCCTCCGGCCTGCAGTAGTATACTGTACACCATACTCCTCCGGCCAGCAGTAGTATACTGTACACCATACACCTCCAGCCAGCAGTAGTATACTGTACACCATACACCTCCAGCCAGCAGTAGTATACTGTACACCATACTCCTCCAGCCAGCAGTAGTATACTGTACACCATACTCCTCCGGCCAGCAGTAGTATACTCTACACCATACTCCTCCAGCCAGCAGTAGTATACTGTACACCATACTCCTCCGGCCAGCAGTAGTATACTGTACACCATACTCCAGCCAGCAGTAGTATACTGTACACCATACTCCTCCGGCCAGCAGTAGTATACTGTACACCATACTCCTCCGGCCAGCAGTAGTATACTGTACACCATACTCCTCCACCCCGCAGCAGTATACTGTACACCATACTCCTCCGGCCAGCAGTAGTAGTATACTGTACACCATACTCCTCCGGCCAGCAGTAGTATACTGTACACCATACTCCTCCGGCCAGCAGTAGTATACTGTACACCATACTCCTCCAGCCAGCAGTAGTATACTGTACACCATACTCCTCCAGCCAGCAGTAGTATACTGTACACCATACTCCTCCGGCCAGCAGTAGTATACTGTACACCATACTCCTCCGGCCAGCAGTAGTATACTGTACACCATACTCCTCCGGCCAGCAGTAGTATACTGTACACCATACTCCTCCAGCCAGCAGTAGTATACTGTACACCATACTCCTCCAGCCAGCAGTAGTATACTGTACACCATACTCCTCCGGCCAGCAGTAGTATACTGTACACCATACTCCTCCAGCCAGCAGTAGTATACTGTACACCATACTCCTCCGGCCAGCAGTAGTATACTGTACACCATACTCCTCCAGCCAGCAGTAGTATACTGTACACCATACTCCTCCGGCCAGCAGTAGTAGTATACTGTACACCATACTCCTCCGGCCAGCAGTAGTATACTGTACACCATACTCCTCCGGCCAGCAGTAGTATACTGTACACCATACTCCTCCAGCCAGCAGTAGTATACTGTACACCATACTCCTCCAGCCAGCAGTAGTATACTGTACACCATACTCCTCCGGCCAGCAGTAGTATACTGTACACCATACTCCTCCGGCCAGCAGTAGTATACTGTACACCATACTCCTCCGGCCAGCAGTAGTATACTGTACACCATACTCCTCCAGCCAGCAGTAGTATACTGTACACCATACACCTCCAGCCAGCAGTAGTATACTGTACACCATACTCCTCCGGCCAGCAGTAGTATACTGTACACCATACTCCTCCAGCCAGCAGTAGTATACTGTACACCATACTCCTCCAGCCAGCAGTAGTATACTGTACACCATACTCCTCCAGCCAGCAGTAGTATACTGTACACCATACACCTCCAGCCAGCAGTAGTATACTGTACACCATACTCCTCCGGCCAGCAGTAGTATACTGTACACCATACTCCTCCGGCCAGCAGTAGTATACTGTACACCATACTCCTCCAGCCAGCAGTAGTATACTGTACACCATACTCCTCCAGCCAGCAGTAGTATACTGTACATCATACTCCTCCGGCCAGCAGTAGCATACTGTACACCATACTCCTCCAGCCAGCAGTAGTATACTGTACACCATACTCCTCCGGCCAGCAGTAGTATACTGTACACCATATACCTTAGCAACACAAAGGTATAACAGAGGGCATAACACCTCAGGTGACGCTCAGGTTTGACTATAATAATAATAATAATAATAATAATAATAATAATAATAATAATAATAATAATAATAATAATAATAATAATAATAATAATAATATTATTATTATTATTATTATTATTATTATTATTATTATTATTATTATTATTATTATTATTATTATTATTATTATTATTATTATTCGGAGTTGAGAACGGGTAACCTGGTGGTCGGTTAAAGGAGTGACTCAAAAATTAATCCGCTCCGTGTTGCCAAGTCAATAAGGAACAAGAGTGGTTCCAGGAAACCATTTCCGCCAAAATACCGTTCAGATAAATATTTGGCAAATGTTTATTTAGTCCAATAATTGCTGCATTGTAAAGTTATTTGACTACAGATAATTTTTGTGTATTCCTTCATGATAAAATGTAGCTATATTGTTTATAATGATAATTTATATATATAAAAATTTTTAATGTTTATTGACTTTATATTCCTATGTATTCATCTCGAACTGTTGTGAGCGCGGGAAAATATTACTAAATAAAGTGACTATGAACTATCTCGTGAATAAATAAATGTATACATGAGTAATATTGTGATGAATGAAGAATATTATTTGTATTCTGGAAGATGTTTTCCTGAAGTAATGGGTCAAGACAGGTACTGTACCACACCATACTGTACCAGGTAATGGGTCAAGACAGGTACTGTACCACACCATACTGTACTGGGTAATGGGTCAAGACAGGTACTGTACCACACCATACTGTACTGGGTAATGGGTCAAGACAGGTACTGTACCACACCATACTGTACCAGGTAATGGGTCAAGACAGGTACTGTACCACACCATACTGTACCAGGTAATGGGTCAAGACAGGTACTGTACCACACCATACTGTACCAGGTAATGGGTCAAGACAGGTACTGTACCACACCATACTGTACCACACCATACTGTACCTGGTAATGGGTCAAGACAGGTACTGTACCACACTATACTGTACCACACCATACTGTACCAGGTAATGGGTCAAGACAGGTACTGTACCACACCATACTGTACCAGGTAATGGGTCAAGACAGGTACTGTACCACACCATACTGTACCAGGTAA